TCCAGGCCCAAGATTTCTTTCAGCACAAAAAGGTCTAATTGATACTAGTGTTGTATAGCAGGGAATGATACATTCTACTATATTCCTTCATATGACACATCCTACTGTATTCACTAAACTGTTTTTCTGTCTGGATACAAGGTGCAAGATTTTTAGGCACTACCACGACAAACTAATAAACTGCAAAAAAAAAGGGAAGGCAATGTTTATTAGGGTGGATGACACTGAAAAGTATATGTAACACATACAGATGTGTAATCTGCATTCTTTGCTCTTGTTTAAAATGGATTACAGTAACTTCAGACATCGTGGTGGACCAGCAAGTGCATGTGACTTCTTAGTGCAACTTGGACATTAAGAGAGGACAGACAGTCCTTGCCTGTTTAAGAATGGGAATATTAGGCAGAGAAAAAATATTATCTGAGGCATATGTGAAACTCACTGAGATTAATACAGCATTACTGTCTACATTCCAAATCAGAGGTTGCACAGCAAAGAAAGGGTTTGCAAACAACCTTCAAGAATGGTATAGCAAAGGGCTAACAGAGCTAAAGCTATTACAGTTTATCCAAGGAATAAACAAAAACTCTGCTTACCACTACATGCACACAGGAGGCTTTGCTAGTTGTACCAAGTTTTTAAATCTTGTCAGAAATTACTAACATTTTATTAGAATGTTAAGGGTAGATTGATGTGGGTAGGTAATAAAATTTCATAGGAACACATAAATAATTTCTTTGAGACACAGAAGATCCTCTGTTGCTTGAAGTGTTTGGATAAGTTCCTAGAAGATGTCATTGGACTCAACATCACTGGTTTGATTCAGGAAGAACTCTTTGATTTGCATTACCCAAGGATTCAGACTGAGTGATCCTTTTTCTCCTTGTTGGCCATGGAGACTATGAAACAGAATTTTTCAACTTGAATTCTTTCCATAAAGCTTCCTCCTCATTCTAAACATACAAGATGTTACAGCAGGGAATGGAGGTGTTGTCTCTCTTCCAGTTGTGGAATATATCACTCCCTTCAGCCTCTACTCTTCTGAACCATTTCCTTCCCAAGAGTATCCCACACAAGTTTGACTGAGTTAAGTCCTTCAGTAAGATCTCAATTTCTAACCTCTGTTCTCTAGAAAAGCTGTTTATATATTTTTCCAACCTGAATTCCTCCATTCCTTCTGCAAATAATTAATTATATAAAGAAATAATGATATCAAAATTTTGCATCTTTTTAATAAAAGTCCACTGGCCTCAGCATAAGACTGAAGATGGGAGTTCTGTTCTGAATTTATTCAGAAATGGCAGATGACTTAATGCATGTAACTAAACTCTAAAGGGAATGGATAATCCCCACTTAGTTTTCACTCTGCTGCTATGTTAAGGTCTGTGACATCAAATTAAGCTTTTTGCTGCATGAGGTCCATGAAGATCCCATAAGAATTTCCCATACGATCTGGCTTTGTTTATACGCATACAAGTTAAAGATAGACAGAGCCAAAGAACAGCATTTAATGTTTATTAGGCCTTTGCAAAAACATAGACAATTTCAGTCAACTTGAAATTCATTCTTTTAGTAAAATTCAAGTATTTCTTGCACATCTCACTGGATTGGCACTAGCAGTAGAGGCAGCAGCACAAGCAGGAAGCACTGGCACTTACAGCAGAGAATTGGAAAGCTGAAGCTGCATAGATTTCAAAGGTTGTTCTATAAAGAGAACTCAACACACTCAATATATCAGATGTGGTAACAGACTAGATGCAGTTTCACCTTCACTGCAGCAGAAACTGGTTATTTTATGCTGTGTTACTGGGTGGGTGCTTCTGGTGTGAAAAAGACAGAGGCCTTCTGGTGAATTTTCCAAGAAGGATGTATTTAGCATACTAGTAAGCACAGAAGGTTCATTTACATAAAAGATTTGCAGCAGAAAAATAAATTTTGAAATTCTTATTTTATCAAATTCAGGCTCCACATCTCCAGAGCCATCCAGAATAACATGGAACTGGAACTGATATAAATGTCTGCTTATCCCATTTGCTCTTAGAGAGGATCCATGACATAAAAATATCACCTGACTGCAGGCCTAATAGCTACTGGCAGTGTGTTGCTCCTTCCTGAGCACCTATGTGATGTAGAATTCTGTTCATCCTGCTGGTTGTGGAAATCTCCATGTTCAGCTGGCAGTAAGATCAGTGCAATTCCTGGAAATAGTCATAAAGCCCTTATGACTGTTTTTGAAAGGGTAGCAGAGAGATATTTCAATAAATCTTGCCTTTTTCTTATTTCTTTTTTTATTCCCACAAGAAATTACTGAGTTGCTAGAAGAAGTAAACAAAAGTTTACATATGTGTCAAATAGGGTTGGACTGGATGACCTGGGATGGACATACAGATGTCCTTTCCAACCTCAACCATTCTGTTATTCGGTGAAATTAATCTTCTAAGCCAAAATGGTATCAAGAAATAATGAAGGCTCTAACAACATAGGGATTAAGTCCTCAGACTAAACTGTCAGAGGAAGAAAATCTTTGAAGTTCCATTAATTTATGCACACTGAGAAATTGTCCCAACGCAGCTTCATTATTTTGCATTTTGTTGGTCTGAAATGTTTTTCAGACAAATCAGGGCTCATAATTAAAAGGGAGAAAACACAATTTTTTTTAAGTGAAAATGGATTTGTGTTACTTAGCTGTCAAGTGCCTTAACAAGAGAAATGGAGAAAGTGAAAGGATTATGCAAGATCTAGTCTACTGAAATATAAGAGCCATAGGTTTCCATTACATGAAGGAACTGTACTTAAGTAATAAAAAATGAACTCTCCAGCCAGAGAAACCTGAAGACAAAACAGGATTTAGCTCAAATTCCCAAGCAAAAAGCTGGCAGCACAAAAGCAAGAGCAATAAAGCACAGCCTGTATAAGCTTTTAAACCCTTTAAAATAAAAGATGGATCTTTCATTTATTAGTTAGTCCTGATGAAGAAGGGCATTAGCATTATACAGATCATGAGTTATAAATTCTTGATTCATCTGGGAACCAAGTTTTACTAACCATACCCATGAAGAAAGATTTTTTTGCTCTGACTTACAGCAAAATATCACATACTGTTTACAGTAAACCAACAGCATTTCACTCTCCTTGTAATGACATTATTTTCCAGTTCGTTTCTCCAAGTGAATGCCATTAATCATTAAACACTTAAGGCACAAGCAGAAATAAAAATAAATAGCATCTGTAAAAAAAAAGTTAAATACATAATTAGCACACCTTACTTGAAACTTTTAGCTTTTACTAAATAGAAGAGGCTTTAGAATACCAGTCTGGTCCCAAAAATATCAACAGAAAAAAAAAAACACTACTGAAATTGCTTCTTTATCCTGAGGACTTTCTACACACAAGAACAGTTTAATAGCTGTCTGAAGGATCTGTTCACTCATTTTTTAAACAGACAGACAAAATGCAGTTAGTTCCTCTGTGAATTTCTACTCCTCCTGGGATGTCCAGCATCAGGACTGCTCAATTCACCTTTGTGATTCATGCAGCAACATCCAGCAGGGGAATTCCATTCAGCAAATATAAGCATCTACAAAGAAGGTATTGACACAGCAGCCAGTCATCTGAGCCTCCATGGTACAGATGGAGAAAATGGGTCCTTACAGTGCACATTTCAACATACAGAGCTTAAACCAATTAGCCAAGCTGGAGATGTCCATGCCAAAGGAGTCAAAAATCAATTAAAATTAATTCCACCTTGAGGCTGTAGGCAGGTGTGCTCTTCCACATCTGCCTGTGCAGCTGAAGATGGAATTGCAGTGACTTGTCCATCCTGAGAGGGAAGGCACCTCCTCCACCTGCCTGCCAGCAGAACAGGCTGTGGAAGCTGCCCCCTGCCTTCTACCCTCCTCTCACTGCTGCAATCCTCTGGCCAAAGCCATGCAGGCACTGTGCAGCACTCTTGACCACTGGGATATGCTAAATAAGTTGATTTTACCTGAAATAGATTGGGCAGTGCTTGCAAGATCCCTTTTCCTTTCTCAGCTAAGCTGCACTGGGCTCCTACAGTGACAAATAATTGTTAGCAATATATTAAGTAGTACAGCTGTTGGCTAAAAGAATGCATATTTATAGCCTAAGCAGGCTTTGGTACACTATTTAGACAAGATTCAGGAATTCAGACATTCCCCAAAGTGGTTTATTATTATTGTAACAGAGGGATGAGTCTTCAATCATTAAATCAGATACTCTTTCAAGCTTACAATTTAGTAACTTCAAGGCATAAAATCCCACTCTAATATAACAAGGGCTCCTTTTCTGGCCTGATTTCAGCTTACTGCAATACAAAAATTTGCACAGTTCCTGTTTTGAGAAACATATGCAGATTTTAAAAATACCTATATCCAGACCTGATCTTCAAGCTGACAAAGCAAATCCATAATTAATTTTCACCTTCTCCTAGTCTCCTATGAATAGGAATGCTTAAAAACCATTTGAGGAAGAAATGGGATTTCCTGATATATATATATATAGAGCTGGATTCTGCCATTCATGTTACCTTCCTTCTCATGTTCTTTTTCTTCAAAATTTTAATTATAGCTTCAGCATGATGGAACAGCTGAGAAGAGTAGAGGAGTCAAGACTCCCATGTAGCCTTGGCCCTTGAGGAGCAAAGGAGGCAGTGGCTGCACACAGAATAAAAACTCCCTGCAGTGCTTGGGTTGGTTCCACTGTGCAGGAGCTGCTTATGACTGACCCCAAGGGTCAATGGGCAGCACCCACCCCAAAGGGCTCTGACCAGAATAATCTTTATTCTCCAAGCTAAGGTAAAACATGTACATATCCTATGAAATAATAATTTCCTATATAAATTTTCATGCAGAATAAAAGTTGGTCCCATAGAAAAGTGGGCTCTACAAAGACAGCACTTTTGCTTCTGTTCAATGAAACAGATTCAATGTCACTTTTTAGATATGGAATCCATTAAATTTTGTTCTGCAAAGTAATCTTGCATTGATAACAATTGTCAAGTCCGACAACTGATGATTTAATGTTCTATTCCCCTTTTTCTCACAATTACAAGTTGCTTGAAAATTAAATTACAGTTAATCTTTCTCCCCAGTGAGCCAGTCTGACATGATGTGCAAATGCTTACATTGCCCTGTAAGTCAGTTGTTCCCAGATGAGATGGGCTGACAGCATGAAAATAATTACTTGTCAATATACAACTGGCCTCTTTTATGGAAAATAAACAGGCACAAAGACAAACTGTTCCACTGCTTATACTGATCACCAAATGTTGAGATAACTGCTTATTTTAAACACAACAATGAGGCTGCAGTGTGATTTACTGACTTTCACAAATTAAGTTTAGCAATTTAGAATGTGTTCAGAACTAAAGTTCTTATTTGTCTGATGATTCTTCATCTGCATTGACCTTCTCTCTTTGGAGCCACATAAATGCTGACTTTGCTGTGCCATCTCCACTCTGTTGGGAAAAGCAAATGAAGGAAGCCCAGACAAAGCCACAGAGCCCAGTGTAAGCTGTTCGCAGGTGAACTGGGATCAAAATGAAGTTTGACAGCTGTGTTGGAAGGAGAGAGAGCTCAGTTAGTGCTCCAGGCATTGTTACACACCCAACAACTGCACTTCTCCCAGGGCCAGACACAGTGTGCCTGCACAGGACCCAGCTCTTCAGCAGGGAAAGGCTCACAGAGTCACCCTGGGAACTCACCTGCACAAAAGGCCAGTACATCAGTCCTGTCTGAAAGGAAAACGAATCATTTGTTATTCTTACGGATTTCAACCACCAAGATTCATTTTTTCCACATTCAGTGATGACTGAGATGTATTTGAATAAAGTTCATAAAAGCTGCTCAGTTACAAATGGAGTTGCTTAACCTAGAGGTTGCCATATTAAACTCCTGATCATCTTCATGGGCTTCTATGCTCTGAGTTTTTCAAACACATTATTCTAACTCACTTTAAATACAAAACCCTAAGCACAGTTAAGTCTTCACAAACATCTGACACCAGACACAATAAACGTATTTACCAGATGGGTGAGCAAATGTTTAAACATGTGAACATTTGTTTCAGCCATTAATGAAAAATATCACTGAGCACTATTTATTTCACACTTGCAATGCTCCTTCTACTTACTCATACATGTAAGGCATATTTAGAAAAATCAATGAAAAATTTACTCATAGAACATAAGGCCAATAGAAACCTTATGTTTTAATAGGCTATAGTGGGCACTGCTTTCAGAATCATCTTCCACAGGAATAAAAATAATCCTTCTCCATCCTACCTATATAGTTCAACAATAAGATGAGAAATTCATACTGCAATCACATTTTCTCCTATTATCTTTTTTTCCTGCTAATCCATCATTCTTCTTGCATCTGAGAAATCTTTAACATTCTGAGCTTGCTCAGCTCTGAGGCAGCATGGATAATTTTGTCTTGCGTATGCAGAAATGCAAATTAAATCCAGCTGTTTATATCAAAGCCTTCTTAAAACAAGAAGTTTTGTTTCTGAAAGTGAGAAGTTTGTCACTGAAAAGTACAGGCTAAAAATGATTCTCAAAGAAAGTGTCCCTGTATTTAATGATTTTAATAGGTGTGCATGTAAGTGTTGTCAATATTATCACTAACTAAGCACTCGTGCGTGGGTAGTTCTTAAGACAAAGGATAAAAAGACCCTGAATCTGTGTTGTGTTGTAGGGCTGTCATTCAAACAGAGCTGGGTGCAAGTGTTATGTATATAAACACTGCACATTTATTTTAAGTTATTAAATATTATATTAATGTTATATTAATATAATGTTATTATAATTATGCTATTAAATAATTATAATTAATTATATTAATTACGATTAATATATTGTTATATTTAATATATTTTGAAAATTCGGTTTTTAAATGGCATAGTTTCACCCATCTGGCAGCACTGCCTAACCCAAACTGCCTTTACTTCATGTGACTGCTGGTAGTTAAAGCTTCCTACACATATTCAAATAATGGAGTGAAAGAAAGAAAGAAAGAGTAGAAAAAGAGTGTTGGAGGAAGGAATATTTCGAATAGTTTATCCCTTTTTTTTATTTGTTTGTTTAGCTGTGAGATAAGCAAATTGCTTGCCTCACCTTATATGTATTCCAAAATTTCTTTTTACAATCTGAAAAGATGTCCTCTTTCCTCTGAAGGATGCTCATACCTAGTGGTAAAATATTTACAACAATCAGAAAAAATGCAAAAAATTAAATATTCATATTTTCCAGTGACATCCCAGACCCTTCTCAAAATATATTATATTTGAAAGAAAAGCTGATATGGTTACAAAAATACCATTCTGACTACCTAATAGTGCTACATCAAATCTCATCCATTGACTTGACTCCCAGCGCTGACACCTGAGACCAGCTGGGATTTACTGGGTGTGCAGGTGTTGTTTCTCTGTTTCTCTGCCATACCACCACCGCCGGTGTAGTGGTGGAACAGAGAGGATGAAAGCACCTTTTGCACCCATCAGAGAGAAAATAAAGCACTTAGCACGTAAGCACAGGCTCCTTAGTCCAACTCTGGGATCCTTCCAGGTATTCACATGCCTTGGGGTTATCAGTATCCCTCAATGGATACATTATTTTACTGCTACCCAATTCAGGGACTTTTCATATCCCCTTTTCTGATCCTTCTGTTCCTTGGACAATTCTTAGCTTAAGTTGTGACATAATTAAGATTTTGAGAAGTATCTGGTGTTTGATTTTTTTTTTTTACTTCATTTCTTTTCAAACACAACTTGAATTATTTCCCTGTCGGTGTGATAGAATGCAGATCTCCCAATCCCAGACAAAAAGAGGACCTGTCTTACTCTTCTACCACCTCAAGTTTAAGTTAAATGAGAGCATTTAATTACATTCGTTTCACCTATTAATTTTCTTATTCCCTCATGTTTATTTCTGAAATAGGTACTAGACTTCTTTAAAGTATCTTGTTACTTGTTAGCTTTTGAGATCAGCCATTAGTAGCATGCTTTATTTCTGTAGACTCACAGCAGAAGCTGGTCCGCTGAAGTATGGCATTTCCTGACATTTACAGCTGTGTTTTGGAAAATGAGACAGCTGATGCTGAGAACTGAGCACAGCAATTCAAACAGACATGGAAGCTCCAACCCTCGCAAGGTGCTTTGCATTCTTTGTGGCGAATTAAAAGCCACGGGCCCGGCCGAGCTCGGGGCAGGCGTTCTTCGGGCCAGCACCCCTCGTGGAAAGCTCTGAAGTGCCACAGGCGGTTCAGCGCCCGCGGGCATCCTCGGGGGAGCTGCCGGGATCTGCAGAGCCCCCCCGGCCCCCGCCCCGCTCCGAGCGCCGTTTTGGGGTGCGGGAGCCGCGCGGGGCGGCCGGGGGTCCCCACCCAGCCCGGCCTTGGAGTGGATGCCGGTGCCGGTGCCCGAGGCAGGCGCGGGTCGCCATGCGGTGCCGCCGCCGGCGCGGGGCTCCGCGGTGGAGCCCCCGGCACTCACCCGTGTAGAAGGCGAGGACGGCGACGGGCGCACCCAGCAGCTGATCGCAGAGCACCTTACCCAGCACGGCGGGCGGGCGGCGGCCGGGCAGAGCCCGCTCTAGCGCCCGCAGCCACACGTAGCTGAAGTTGCCGTGGAAGGCCAGGGCCACCAGCGCCACCCGCCGCGTCTGAGCCCAGTCGGGCGGCTGTCCCCGCAGCAGCTGCTGCGCCGCGTCCCCCGCCGCGAACAGCCCCCCGTAGAGCAGCACGTTGCCGAGCCAGGGGAAGCGCCGCACCCCGCGCAGCAGCGCCCCGGCCATCGTCCGCCGCCGCTTCCGCCTCTTCTTCCTCCTCCTTCTCCTCCTCCTCCTCCTCCTCCTCCTCCTTCCCACGGGCCCGCCCGCCGCCGCCCCGGCCCCGCCGCCGCCTCGCCATCCCCGCGGCCCCGGAGCGCTCGCTGTGCCAGGGAGGGCCGGCTCCCCACGCCCGGCCCCGGTGGGTGGGGGATGAGCGCGGTGATGGCGGGGCAGCCGGGCATCAGCTCGTGGGCTCGCTTCTCAGGTGCCTGTGCATTCACCCCGAAGATGTCGGTGACTGTGTCGCCTGGGCTCTGGTCGAAGCAGCACCATGGGGTCACTGTGCATTCGTGCCTCAAGTATCGAGTGACAAATGAAAACTAAGCACCGTTTCCTTATTATCTTTATTTAATTATCTCCTTGTTGCGTGCTTACATGAGTAGGTTACGGCTTTTTCTTTTCAGTTTTGTCCTTGTTTTGCAGTCTGAGCAGGGCCGATGCACACCTGCGGAGCAGCAGCAGCCCGTGGGATTCCTCTGCTTTGCGCTCTGCTGCTGACACAACTTGAGGAGAAAGCCACAAATAATGTGAGGTTACTGAGGAGACTCGTGTACACACAGAACCAGTGCCACAAAGCGGATCTGAAGTGCACGGAGTGAGGTGACAGCGAGGGTGGCTCATGTCCTGCAAGACACTTGGCTGCGGAAGGAAAGGAGCGCATCCGGGAGCGCCAGGGAAATCTTGCTGCTAGCAATGGGCTCAGGCTTGACCGAGGGAACCATCTCCAGGCAGGAGGTGGTAGTTCGCTCTGTCACCTAGAAATGCCTTTGAAACTATCATTCTTCCATGAACGACTAAAACCAGTCAAGGATGGCTTGCAGATTTAAGTAAATTTTAATAAGAGTGTAGAGCGCGCTGCCCAGCGCTTGGCGGACTCGCTGTGGCAGGGCCCAGGGGCTGCCCTTTCCTCATCCCAGCACATCCCTGCACAAAGCAACGCCAGCTGCAAATAGTGCTGGTAAATAACAGCAATGGCACTAATAGGACGGGAGATATGTACCGAAAAGTAACTCCAGCTTGGAAGAACAGAAATAAAGCTCAGGAAAAGCCCAGGGTTTGGATCTCCGGGGGCTGCTTGTCGGACGGGAGCCCACGACCAGGTGTGTGCTGTCCGCCGCGACTGTGCAGCGCTCCGGAGCTGGACCCGTACGCGGAGAAAAGGCTTATGGTGCCCCCGTAGGCGACAGCGGGGTAACAACCGAGAGGTTTACGGAGACTGGAGCCACACAGAGACCTGCCGGGGTCCGGCCTGCCACGACCCGCCGCCGCCGGGACTCGAACCCGGGCACTTGCAGCTCCGCTCCGGAACCGGCGCCCATCGCCGCCTGAACCGCACTCCCCGCGCATGCGCCAGTATCTGTCACTGACCCGGGCTCTCTCTGGGACTGTTCCACCAGCCGGCGTTGGGGGGAGAGACCTCAGGCAGTGCGCTGAGCGAAGGGCCGGCCCCGGCCCTGCCTCTCGTCGCCGCCGTGCAACCCCCCCGCCGGTGCAGCGCGGTGGTGCGTGCGGGAGGGGGCGGGCCCGTTGCCCAGGTGAGCGCGCGGGCGCGGCCCGCCCCGCCGGCCCCGTCAGCGCTGCCAGCGTGGAGCGGTCGGAGCGGCGGCGCTGGGCCCGTGGCCATGGACGGCTCGCTCGAGAAGGTCTGCGGGGCAGCGCCGCGGGGCCGCGCCGCGGGGCCAGGGCCCGCTGCGAGTAGCGGCCGCGGCGGGTGCGGTGGGGCCGGGGCCGCGGGGAGGGGCGCGGGACGGCGGCGGCCGGGGCTCGGTGCTCCGCGCTGCCCCCGGGGCTGAGGCGGCTTCTCCTGCCGGAGCTTTGGGGCAGCAGCGGAGCCCCCGGGCCTGTCCCCGCTCGGCCCCCGCAGCTGCCGATGTGACCGGCATCCGTGTCCCGGATCTGGAATTAGGAAGGATAACTATCAGGAAATGCTTTAGGAGCGGGTTTTTTGTTTTCTAAAAAAAAAAAAAGATGGAGCTTATTTCCCGTGAGTGTTAACCTCCAGCAGGATAGGAGAGGAAATATTACGAAAAAAATTATTATTGTCCCCATTTAAAAAATTGAAATAGAGGCGTTGGCTGCCCTGTGTTTGCTCTGTGCCCCGTGCACTGTAAAGCAAATATTGGCTCGGCGATGCCGTGAGTGCCGGACAGAGCCGAGAGCCGCTGTCACTGAGGCAGTGCCCGCTCCGCACCTGTGCTCAGGGTCCTGCCCCTCCCGAGCGAGTCCCCGTCCCTCGCTGCCTCTGGGGACACTGTGCCTCTGCAATAACCAGGACTTTGTGTGCTTAAGCTGGGAATGCACACGCCCCTCCTTGCGTCATTTACTATATGCAGCATGCTCGGTTTGATGTGATCCTTGGGGTGGTCCAGAGAAATTTGTATGGGATGTGCTCCAGTAAAATGGTTGGGAAATTCAGGAAGTGTCTTTCCGACGTGGCTAATGAGCTGATGGCAAAAAAAAAAGTTTGCTATGTTACAAGCTTCCTGAAGAATACACTGTTACAGAGTATTTGTTAGCGTTTAAAAGCTTAGGTTCTTTACTCGTGCTGACAGAAGTGACTCCTGCTTGTTTTGAAAACTTCTAATTAGGTGATACTTCATTGGAATAGTATGGAGTCTACTGTCTATGAGCTGGACTCAAAGAGAACACTTTAAAGAATGTGCACGAGTACAGGCAAAGTGCAGTACTGGCCAAGCTCTTTGCTTGACTAGTTCATCATAAGAAGCAATAAACACACTGTAAGAATGAAATACCTAAAAGATGTCCATGTTTTAATTATTCTTGATATGAGGAATGGCCTGTAATGGTCTGCAAAAACTTGCATGTCTGATTTTTCCATACATGCATGTGGATACGTGTCAAGAGTTATCATTGGGTTTACTTCCTCTCTTGTTTATCACGGCTTTTTTCCACATGTGTGATAAAAGCTGTAGTTCTCTGTATAATAAAATGCCATGATACAATTATGGTCTTCTAGATATTTAGCAGTAAGTGCCCTCCTGGAATAGTCTTTGGTTAAGATTATGGTAAATCTGTACAATTTGCAGTTTATCAAGTCTTGAGCATGGTATGTCAGAAGTCTTCTCCCAAATATATTTAAAATTCCTCCAAGCTGGGATACATTTTTCTGCAGAGAATGTCTGTCCACTTACCTCGTGGACATTATTTCAGCATTATCATAGTAGATTTGAGACTGTCTTTTATTTGAACCATGGATTCTCCCTTTGCTGTGTATTTGTACAGATAGTTTAGCAGGGTGTCAGCGATGTGATAAGTACTTTTAAACTTGTATTAGTATTTGTTGCAGCTTTGTATTTTTCATAACCATTTTGGTACAATCACCTAATGAACTGTAATGCAGTGACATTGGCATGACTGCAGTCATTAGAGTCTTGCAAATGGAAAAAAGATTTTTTTTTTTTAGCAGATGAGAAACTTCCTGAGAATTCAAAACATTGCACAGTAGGATTGCAACGAAAATAATTGTAGAATCTGACACACAGGTGTGCACACCAAAAATCTCTTGGTTCGATTTTGCAAATTAACTTTGTTTCAGCAGAATTTTTATTGCATTAATTTTTAAGGTATTGTGTGTCATAAGTGATATAATTATAATTAATTTTATCTGAAATTCAGAAATCTTTTGTTGGGCTGAACTTGTTTAAATAATTTTGGAACCTTGTGTTAGATTTCAGAAGTTTGCCTTAACAGAACTATTCTATTTTTTTTGCCCTGTTTGGATTTTGATAGAAGTGACCCATCTTCTAAAGGATTTTAAATTTCAAGTTAGGTGACTGTGTCAATGGTAAAATAGTGCAAATTCTTTCCTTGTAACTTCTTGCTGTCTCTACAACAGTGTTTTTCCTAAACATGAAAAAAACTGTTTTGATTTCTTGCTCAGCCTGTGACTCTTGTCTTTTGTTACTGTGCTATTTACCATAACATCCTGGTAAGTTTACAGAAAACTTAAGGCAGCAGAGCTGCATTAAGGCCCTGGTGTCTGTCAGGGGCATAAATAAAAATTAAAAGAGTGAATATCTATAAGCAGAAGCCTTGTGATGACACAATGCCATTTTTATTCAAGCCAATCATGAAATGTCAGCATTTTTTTGTTATCTTAAACTTTTCTTACCCTGGAGAATAAAAACTATGTTTTTTTGGCTGAAGAACACTGATATTGTTTGACAGTAAATTACTATTGAGAAGAGGTTTTATTTTTTTATGGTAAGACTTCCTTTTAAGGTGTTACAATAATGTAGTGGGAAATGAGCTACACCTATGAGTTGCTTTGCACAACATTAGTTTATGTAAACTGTTTGAAATTCATCCCTTTATTTCATTAGGAGTACAGCCTACAGAAATGCAAAATCAAGATTGTAAAACACTGGTGTAGAAACAGCATTCTCCTTTTGAATTTGCAATTAATTTTCAAGTCTTATCACAGTATGAGAATGGCCCCTTATCCTCTCCACAGTTGCCAAGTGACTCCAAGGTGTGACATCCTGCCTATAAAATCATAAACAGTTCACAGTTCAAAGTACTTAATAAAATAGTAACAGATTAGTTATGAAATAGGGAAGTGACTACAAATCCAAGCTGTTGCAGGATAACCTTAGGGAGTTGGATTAACACATTTGAAGGCATGTATGATAAAGCAGGCTCGACGAGATATGTCAGGGGCTGAAGGAGGCAGGAATTATTGGGATGCTGAATGGACACCTGGAAGGAAAAAAAAGCCATGGCTGGTGCCTGCTTAGAGCTTGGAAGGATTTGAGGATCCTGTAACTCCCCTGGCCAAAGGCTGCCTGTGATCCAGGGGAAAGACTGAGTGCAGAAACTTCCTGCAGCTGCTTTAACCCCCTGAACACCTGTGTTGTCCTGGGGCTCAGGAGGGAGTGGTCAAGAACTCCTCTCACAGTCGTTTTCAAAATCAGTCCAAGACCATGAAAAAAATACTGTTTACT